TTATTCACGGATCATTGCTTTAAGTCGTAAGTAATCATTAAATGATCAATTCTTTCTTTTTTTTTTCGTCTTTATTATCATCTTCTTATTCTTCTACACTTTTAGTGCCGCTATTATTGTCGTCAATTGTTCTGACTCACAGCTGTGCAAAATGATGTCTGTTTGGACGTTTAAATTGAAGGTGGAAAAGAAAGAGAAGCAAAAAGAGAAGAAGAAAAAAAAAACAAGGTAAAATAAGCGTTTTTTTTTTTAGAATTTCCTCTTTATTAGTTTAACTGTTTAGTGGAAATTGAAAAGTGGTAGGAGACTTCTGGTTTTTTTTTTTGCTTTTTATTCTGCTGACAACAGATCATCAAATATGCAATCTGCAAATTAATTAAAAAAAAAAAAAAATTATAAGCAATTTTTATACATTTGATGATTTATGCTACAGAACTTGATAATTAGCTTTAGTTAAAAGTCAGTTAAAAACAGTGTATTGACTGTTACTTTGGTGCAGTAATTTGACCCAATCCTTTAAAATAAGAAAAGAACTGAAAAAAGGCTTTTCTTTTTGGAAAAAAAAAATATACAAACAGAGGTGGTCAAATATGAAAATTGAAACTCCAACTAGATGCATTTTTTTTGCTCTTTTCTTCTGTCGCTTATAGTTTCTAGAAAATTGCAGAAAGTTTGACAAATCTTCATTTTTTTTCTTTTTTTTTTGTAATTTTACTGTGTTATCAATGGTCTAAACTGTTTAACAAACACTTATAAAGAAAAAAAGATTTAAACACTGAAACTCGAGTTAGGCTTTCTTGTTTTTGCTTCAAGACTAATAATTCATAATTTTTTCGTTTGCTTTTTGTCAGATGTTAATATCATTGACAATTGTTAAGCAGTAACTTTAATAAGTAAAAGAAAAAAGACTGCAGATATTTACAAATAAAGAAATTTTTTGACATTTTACCTACAACACCATTTTCGACAAGTTTGCAGTTGGCGACCGCTGGAAATACCTGTAAATCAGATAGTATTGTCAAATAAAATAAATAATAAAATTAATTCATGTCAAATTTAATATCTTAAAATAGAGAGAGAGAGAGGAAGAAATAAATCAAGAAAGAAGAGTAAAAAGACTGAAGAAGGTAAATGTCAATGGATACTATTTGAAAGTAAACTGTTTTTGATACAGAAACTATTTTGATCTATAAAAATCAACTTGTTTTTTTTTTTTTTTCAACTGATAACTTTGTGTTAATCTGTGGTTTGTGGTTTTTCTTCTGTTTGATCTATTGATAAGTTTAGATGTCTAAGTTGGTTAATAATCATTAAACTGGTAACCAAAATATTGCATTAAAATCAGTGGGTAACATTGGGTTTGTTTAAACGTTGTTGTTTAACTGAGACAAATCTGTTGTTGCAATTGTTTGATTTTTAACAGAAAAATTGTTTCTTCTTCATTTCCAATAGAAAAAAAA